CTTCCCTGGGACAAGTCACCAAGACACCAAAAGTGTCCTTTTGTCATGCACAGAAAAGGTTAAGTGTCCTTGTTAATCCCCAAATCCTCCCTTTCCTCAGGTACCTACTGGATTGACCCAAACCTTGGCTGCTCCTCAGACACCATTCAGGTCATCTGTAACTTCACCAACGGTGGCCAGACGTGTCTCAGCCCTGTCACTGTCTCCAAGGTAGGCACAGCCCAGCCCCAGAGCAGCATTTCCCGAATATTTACACAGCATGTGTTGTGCCAGGACACTGGACAGTGACCACAAGGACACAGCACACAGGTTGGGAGAACATTAGTGCAACTGTAACACTCAGAACTGCTCTCAGAAGTTAAAAAAACACACCTGAGGCTCAAGACAAAGCCCTGTGTTCCAGTGATGTTTAATGAACCCATAGTCTTAACGTGACCAGTAATTTCACAAACATGCTGCTCCCAAATCCTTTATTGACTTGGCTTGTGTTTGGGTCACTCTTGCATTTTGTTTTCTGCCACCTGGAGAAGTGAGGTCAGCCTAAATACACAAGTTTCCAATCAAGTTATTGCTATGGGATTTTTGTTAAGGAAGTACCTGTACTAAAAATACAAATAGCAATATGTGGGCTCATTTGCAGATGAACTGGAACCTGCTTTGTAAGTGTATTGAGTTTGAAGTTTACATTCTTTTCCTCCTACTTAAGAACCTTCTAGTTTGTTCTGCAAAGCAAAGGACCTGCTGTGTCCCCATGAAAACTTTCCAGAAGGACTTGGCATCTGTCCTCATGCCCATATTCACATCAGATCCAGCTCTGGACACTGGTGCAGAATGAAGCAGAGGACAGGGACCCGCTTTGCTATCCCACCCTGCACTAACCCTGCTCCCCTCAGCCCCTCTGCAGGGCGTCCCTGTGACCTCTCTGTCACCTTTCAGCTGGATTTTGACATCGGGAGAGTCCAGATGAACTTCCTGCGCCTGCTGAGCTCGGAGGTGGTGCAGCACATCACCATCCACTGCCTGAACACCTCTGTCTGGCGGGAGGGCTCCTCTGAGAGCCCCTCAGAAAAAGCCGTGCGCTTCAGGGCCTGGAACGGGCAGGTGTTTGAGGCCAGCGGGCAGCTCCGGCCAGAAGTGGCAGCTGATGATTGCAAGGTATGTCACTGTGAAAGAGGGAGCAAGAAGTGGAGAGAAATGCCAGAGCCCGTTCTGAGGCTCAAGTAACACCTGTGCTGTTCATCCTGCAAGGGAGAAGGGTCAGGTTTACCAGTTCTCCACTAATTTTCCAGTCCAGGATGCTATAGCAGCTCCTGTGAAGTGGATGGCCTTCAAACAGAAGGCAAAAGATGAAATTCTGAAGTTTCTTGTCTTGGATAGCAGCAGTTCAATGACAGAAGGGGGGATGGCTCCCCATGGGTGGTGACCCTGGCTCTTGTCTGATGCCACACAGGCTGAGGGGACACAGGGCTGCACTCAGGCTCACAGCATTAGGACTTTGTCTTGGTGGTGCCACTCAAGCTCAGTTTTCATCAGCCTGATAAAGTATTCCCCAAAATGCCCTCTAAACCCACCCCAGCCCTGCTCAGCCCAAGGGACATGCCCGTGTCTCAGAGAGGGATTTCAGGCTTACACCTCATGGAATCCAGCAGGATTGACCCCCTGGCTGATCAGCTTTCTCTCTGTCCCCCTCCCCACGCAGATCAAGGACGGGCGCTGGCACCGGACCCTCTTTTCCTTCCGGACACAGGACCCTCAGCAGCTGCCCATTGTCAGCATCCACAACCTGCCCCCCTCCCAGCCAGGACAGCAGTATCACCTCGAGGTCGGCCCTGTCTGCTTCCTTTGAGCCAAGCTATGGGTCCCGGGCTCTGAGGCTCCAACCCCACCACGGCCTGTCCCTACAGGGGCTCTGCCCCCTCTCTGCAGCACGGACAGCTGGGCTGTATCTTCTGGGCCAACTCTTGCTCCAGCCTTTGGCTCAAGGTCTCCAAGAACCCATGATCTACTGAACTCAGCCAGTTGTTGGAAGGAGGAGGAACAAGGAGGTGGGGGAAGCGGGCATCAGTCAGGACGTGAGCAGTGAAAAGGGATCAGAGGACTGGATGTTGTGGTTCCACACATAAAGCTTTTTCCATGACCAAAGAAAACATTGAGAGAAACCTCAAGCGACTTGCAGCGTGTGGGTTTTTTTGTTCTTTTCCCCACCCATCCACCCACCCAACCATTTTTGTCTGGTTCCTGAGTTACCAAATGTCCTTTCCATTGGAAAAAAAAAAATGATTTAAAAAAAAAAAAATAGAGCTTCCCTCTCAGAGCTTGTCACCTTCTGGACAGCCACGTGCTGCATCAGGTCTCCCAGGCGGAGCTGCAAGTTGAATCTGGCTGCTCTGTGTACAGGAAGCATTTTGATGTGCAATATTAGAAGAAACAAAATATATATATTATATTATTTAAAGCAAAAAGAAAAAGGAAAAAAAAAAAAGAAAAAAAAGCCAAGTTCCTCCTTCCATGAGTTTAATCAACACTCCCTCTCAACGTGTGGTGTTGGAGTAGAGGAGAGTCACGAAGCCAAGAAGGGGGAATGGAAAGAGGAGAGGGGAAGAGATTGGTGCTAAAATAGAGAGAGGGAATGGGCTCATCTGATTTGTTTCTACCTCTCACTGTGAAATCTCTGGTGCTCTTAAAAAAGTGTGTTATTTTATATATATGACTTTATTTAAGGTTGTGAAGGTGCTACAATGTCTTGCCACAGACCCAGAAAAAAAAAAAAAAGCCCCATAGAATCATCTCTCTGTTAAGAGAGGAGATTGTGTTCTACAGTTAAATCAGAGAAACAGACACCTTAAAAGGGATCCTTCAGTGGCCATGGGTGTCAATAAAACAACCCACACCACAGCCAACATCACTTATGGGATAATTTACAAGCAAATTTGCTTTTTTTGTTGTGTTTTCCTTCATCAGCACTTCACTGCTTTGGGAGGGAGTGAGTGACACAGCTCATCTAGAAGTGTTGAGCCTCAGAGAGCTCCTCTGGAGTTGCTGAGTTGGGCTGTACTGAGTTGCCCACACGACTCCTTGGACTAAGCTCATGTTTAAACCCAACTCTGCAGCTCTTCCCTCGGCCCCTCTGTCAAGACTGACGTGATGGTACCTTGTTTCAGAACCCAGCCAAGCCTGGAAGGGTTTTGTTCTGTTAAGTTTTGTAGAAATTTAGTCTCTATATGTAAATTTGGAGGATTTTTTTTAAAGAGGATAATTATGGTAATCTTTAATTCTATATAAGGAATAATATTGATGTAATCAGAGCTGTACTGTATCAGAAACTCTTCAGTGCCTGTTTGGAGTTGTCATGTCTCATATGGACTATGGATTTTATTTTTTTGAGGGAAAAAAAATTATCTGTGAGTCTCTCTTTCTGTATTTTTTTTTGTCACTACTGCCTGCTGGTTGGTTCCCAATCACCATCAGAAAAGGTTAACAGGATCTGTCCCTAATACCTCGCCCTCCACGCAGCCCCTGCCAGAAATACCTCATCCCCAGGCCAAAATCACCACCACCCATCACTCGCTGCCTCCCTGCAACCCCCAAACTCCAGATCACTCCATTTCTCATCCCGTGCCATTGGTTTTGTGTTTTCTCAAGGCTGCAGTTGCCATTTGTTCTCCTTAAAGCTTTTTTTTTCTCCTTTTCTTTTCCTTTTTTTTTTTTTTAACTTTAAATAAATATTTAAAACTGAGGCAATGGAACAGGACTGGAATGGTTTGGTTTTGTTTTTTTTTTCCTTCATAAGAAACTAGGTGGGTAAGAGATGCAGAAATACCCCATGTCCCAGGGGTTCCCCCAAGTGATCTGAGGAGACAAACCCACACCCCAAACCTTCCTGTGATGCCAAATGCACAACAAAATCAGGATCCCCTTGGCTCCCAGCTGCTGAGCCTCATCCCTGTCCCCATCCTGCCACAGTGCTGGGGAGCAAGAGGGGGAAAGAAAGAGGAAAGAAAAGAAAAGAAAGGGGAAAGGGAAAAAAGGGAAAGAAAAAAGGAAAGAAAAAAAATGAAAGGAAAAAAAAGGAAAGAACAAAAAAAGGAAAGCAAAAAAAAAATGGAAAGGAATAAAATGGAATGGAATAAAATGGAATGGAATAAAATGGAAAGGAAAAAAATGGAAAGGAAATTAAATAAAAGGAAATGAAAGGAAATAAAAGGAAAGGAAGATGTAGGGTGAAATTGGGGTGGGGAGGAAAGTAGGAGGGGGGAAAACTAAGGGAGAGAAAAGGGGAAAGATGAGGGCAACAGCAGGGGGCAAAAAAAGAGGGTGTCAAAGGAAAAGAAGGAAGCAAAGGGGGGAAAACCTGGTTTTTTTGGGACAAAAAGCAGAGGAGCTTCCTGGGCGGTGCCGGTTGCGACAGGGGCAGCGGGCAGGGCCCAGCCGAGTTTGCCCAGCCCTGCTCAGCCCTTCCCGGCACCAACCCCGAGCCACAGGTCCCGAACAGCTGCTGACAAACATGTCTAATTAATTAATCACCACACTTGATTACAATGCCAACATCAGGGGAGCTGTACGGCGCTGTTGAATAGGGAGATGCTGCATTCAAAGAAGTTGTAATTTTTAATTTTAAAACTTAAAAAGGTTTTTAAAATGTGTGAGTTCCCTGCCTCATAGCCAAGGCTCCCAGCCCATGGAATCCCCCATGGCATCTGCCCCAGGGGGAAACCAGGTGAGTGTGGATAAGCTCTCAGAGCTGCCAGCCAGCCACATCCCTGAGGGTTTCTGTGCCCTGTGAAAGCCATGTCCCGCTGCCCTCAGTGTCCCCAAGGTCTCCAAACACACCTGAAGCTGCCGAGCACTTCGCCTGGCACCCACAAAATTAATTGCAGTTTCTGAGAACAAAAGCCTGCACTGGGGAAGCGTTAGGTTGGGGTGAGGAGGGGAGGGTGTTTCCTCCCTCTGTGCTGGAGAAATCCAAGATTTTGCAAGCTGAATTTCCTCCACCTGCTATTGCTTCACGCCTGAGCAAACAGCCCAGCAGCGGAACAGGGACGTTGGTGCTGGGGATGTCTGGCGGTGCTGGCAGCCCTATATAAGGGACAGAGCTGAGCAAAGCCTGGCAGAGCAGGAGCATCCTCCTAGACAGCCAGGAGATGTTGGCCACCCTCACCCTCTTCCTGGGGCTGCCCCTGGCCCTGGCCACCGAGCCCCAAAGCTGTGCCCCGCTTGTCCCGATCACCTTCGACAACACCACCATCCCTCAGGTAAGCCCTGCCCTCCTCTCCTTTCCTATCAGCACCCCCAGCCCTCATGGCTGGTGCTTTTAGGGGATCCTGCTTCCATCTCCTTGCCAGCCAGGCTGGGCAGCACCACCCCAATGCCTCAGCACTCTATTTTAAGTCCTTCAAGTGATGGTGGCACAGGTCTTGAGTCTCCATCTGCAAACCCGTCACTGTATAAACAATATTTATTCCCTTGGGAGCTTTTAATGGGAGGAAAGCAATGGCAGCCTGGCCTGAAGCAGGAGAAACACCATTGCAGAAAAAACTGGTCACCCTGGGAGCTGGAGCACTGCTTTACAGAAAGGGGACAAATCCAGAGACGCTCACCCAGCCCGGATCCTGCCCAGGGCATCACCTACAGCTGCTGCTGCCCGTTTGCCTCACTCACAGGGTGCCTGCGGGTGAACCTGGCACAGCCCCTCCGACCCTCCCCATTCTGCTCCCTCTGCAGATCCTGGGACAGTGGTTCTACATCGCCGGAGCCTCCAGGTATCCCCCTCACCTGGCAGAGCTGAGGGCAGTGACATTCGCGGCTTTTTCCTTCTCTCCAGGCAGCCACGAGGATGAGCTCAACTGCACCGAAATCATAAGAATGTAAGGACAGGGATTCATTCATGCCCTGATCTGGCTCCCCCATGCTCAGGGGCATTTCTACCCTCGGGTGTCACCCTCGGGGCTGAGACACCTCACAAATTCGGGGTTGGAGAGCAGCTGTGCCACATTTATTTAAGCTCTGCCATCCTGCTCATGTTCCAAATCCCTCAGGGTTGGCTGGGGCAAGCTTAGGGGTATTTGCTCCCTCTGACCTCTCTGCCCCACAGGAATGAGACATGTGTGGTGAAGAACTCCACGATCCAGGTCTTCCAGCAGAACTCCACCATGGCACATGGTAAAGCTCCACTGGGAGGGATGGGGGGACTCAGCCAGCCCTTGAACCCTCCTGCTTCTGCCCCCCAGTATGTGGCACCCTGAGCCTTTTACACCTAAAATCATGTCTGGAGGTGGGGGGAAAAAATTTCTTCCACCACACAGCACATCTGTGGCAGCACTGTGAGACCAGAGTGGTCCCCACTGGGATGAGTCACGAGGATGAAAGGTGATGAGCCTCAGCATGGGGTGGATCCTCATGGGGAAATCTCACTCTCTCCATACCTTCCAGTTGAAAACGGGGTGGTTTCCATGGCCAGACTGATCCAAAGTGACAAAGACCTGCTGATCCTGAACCACATCAACATTGACTTCCCAAGTCTGAGTCTCTCAGGTGAGCAGATGCTTCCCCAGGGACAAATCAAGGGGCATGGACATCTCCAGTCCTCACAAGCAGGGCAAAAACCCCCTTTTCCCCTGATACAGAGAGGGGAAAGATGGGGACAGGCAGTGAGCTCCCCATCTGCACTACAGGGATTACCCAGGAGCAAAGCAACTCTAAAACTCCATTTCTTTCCCTCCCTCCTCCATTTCTCTGACAGCACGGACACCCAATGTGAGCAAGGAGCACATGGAGGAGTTCAAAGCCCACCTGCAGTGCCTGGGCTTCACTGAGGACGAGGTGTTCCACACTTCCATAGAGGTACAAACCCCTCTCCAGGGTGGATGAGCCCCAGGCCAGGTTCTGGTCCCAGCTGGGATGGGGTTCTGGGGGGAATGTAAATTCAGTCCCCCAGCACAGCTTCCCTGCTGTGCATCCCCACTCCCCCTCGAGCCTCAGCCATTCCTGGTGGTCCTGGGGTGAGGGAGCTCCAAGAGCTGATCTCCTCTCCCCCAGCATGCCTGTCCCCTGCCCGGGGGTGAAGACAATGCAGATCCTCAGCTGGGGTAACCCCCATGGACTGGGTCAGCTGCTCCATCCTCATCCTCCTCCAGGCTCAGCACCGCCTCAGAACCTTTATCCTATCCATGTTTTGGTTTTTCCTCCTGGATTAAACACCCAGTTTCACTGTTCTCAACTGGGCCCAAAATAAACTATATTTCAACCACTGGCTGCTCCATCTTCTCTGGGACACCCTCCTGCCTGCCCTGCCCATGGTGCTGCACCTCCAAACCCACCCAGAGATGTGAAACGCTCTAGACAAAACCCAACCAGGGCCAAGCGTGGCAGTGGGCAAAGAGGCACATCCCTGATGCCAGCTCTGTGGTGGCAGGGGACCCTCCCAGCCTCAGGGCACTGGGACATGAGCACCCACCCATCAGGGTGGCACACAGACCTGCCAACCCCCTCGAGTCTCCCCCACCACAGCACTCTCAGCACATGAACATCCCCACCCTCAGCTTTCAAGGTAAATCTCACAAGGGTCCATTGACACCACAGGCTTGTGCAGGGGTCACCGCAGGGTGAGGTGACAGGATGGGACACTGCACCTTCCCCAGGTCTCTCTGAGGAGGGGAAAGGGGGGAGGATGGGGAAAACCATCACCCAGAGGCAGACTGAAGTGTTCAGGGAGGTTCTGCTGCCGGGGAGGAACAGGCACACACAATGCCAGAGGAACAAACCTGCCTGGCTGACACACAGGGACAGCAGCAGGACAGGGGGGTCAGGGAGCTGCACAGGGGATGTGTCCAACAGGACAGGGCTGACCTCTGAGGCCCATAAGCACCGCTTCTAAGGCCAGTTTTGGCAAGGACTGCAAAAGCACCTTCTCCTCAAAGCCCCCTTGGGCTTTGCCTGAGATTGGGGTGGGGGTTCTCCAGCCAAACCAGCACAGGGCGGGCTGCACATCCCAACAGCAGAGCGAGAGGTGCTCACAGCTGCTCACAGGGAGAAAATGGGCAGATTTAGGGCAGGTTCAAGTTTTAAATGCAGTAACTGCATCACCAACAGCTCACTCCTGCCAGCAGCCACATCCGAGGCCGGGGCAAGTGCCAAGAACGCGGCTGTGCCTCGGGCATCGCCCCGAAAGGCTCCGGTTGCGACACGGGCACAGATCCGGCAGCGCCGGGCACGTCCTGTCCCCTCCCAGCAGAGCTGCAGGAGCCGGCAGCGCCTGTCTGTCCGTCTGTCTGTCCGTCTGTCCGGGCAGGACCGGGCTAGGCCAGCCATGGGCTCGGCCAGGCTGCTGCTCGTCCTGGGGCTCGCAGCGCTGCTGCCCGCGGATGCTGCGCCCTGCGGAGCGCAGCGCCCCGACAGCTCCACGGCCGCCAAGGTGGGACACGGGGGACACGGGGGGCACGGGGGACACGGGGGGCACGGGGGGCACGGGGCACACGGGGGACACGGGGGACACGGGGGACTCCCCACGCTGCCACACCTTCAGGCTGCTCTGCTGAGCTCGCTGTCCCTTGTCCCCCAGCGCATCTGCCGAGGTGCTGCCAGCGAAACACCTGCAGCGAACGGGAAATGTTTGCTGTCCAAGACAACCTGGAATTACCCATTTTTCTCATGTTCCCAACAGGGACCTTCCAACAAGGCGGGTGGGCTGGGTGTTTTCTGCTGTACATCCCCCGCGACAAGGCCGGGCTGCCCTGACCCTGCCGGAGCATAGCCGGTGCCAGCCCCCTTCCCAGCCCCCACACTCAGATATTATTTGACCTTCCCCCCCTCTCTCAGCCCCCTGAATTATCAGGCTAGCCCAGAGATCCGAGGCTTTGAGGGGAGGAACATCAGGAGATGGCAAAGATTTCCAAGAGGCTCTTACCCCGAGATAAGTTGGTTCAGCTCTCTTTATTCTGTGATGTCCTTGTGGAGAGCAAGGCAAAAGAGGAAGAACAGGAAATCTCAGGGGTCTATATGGACTTTGGGCAGGGTGAGCTTCCCTCTCCGCCAACCCCATTGGGGCAGGAAGGAGGGTCAGGGTTATCTGATCAGTCACAGGGTCCCGGGGAAGGGGGCACAGAGTGCCCATGAGCTCACTGTAACAATTATTTTTCCCCCCTCCCAGTTCATTTGCAAATATTTGACCTTGTCACTGCCAATGCTGAGACAGAGTGAAAATTTCACAGGGTAGAAATCCATTTGGATTTAGGTGAAATGTGCCGCTTGGAGCTTGCTAGCATAAGTAAAATTATGCTGTTTAGTCTGGTAACTTTGCAAAACTAATAGAACTGCCCCAGCTGAAGAGAGAGAATGCGAATTTCCAAGCTAAAGAGATAAGAAAGACTCCTCGGATCTTGAAACGGGGCAGAGAGACCCAGGCGTTCTTTCTGTACTTTCAGACAAAAACTGAGTACAAGTGTAACTAGCTGTAGGTGTAATTCGAAATCAGCAGAATGAATATGAACTAACCTATTGTGAAATTCTATGTATATGTAAATTAGTTAAGGGTAATAAAAAGGATTGGGAGTCCTTAGGGGCACTTTGAGGCGAATGATTCCCCACATGCGGCCAGCGCTGTAATAAACATACCATTCCTACAAACCTTTATAGGAATTGTGGGGGTTTGATTTTTCATCCGTGTTTCAATGCAAGAGCCCTAGCAGAATATCAGAGAACTAGCAGCACTACCAATCTTGCCACGGGGAGGGTGGAAATCTCAGGGTTCCTCCTGCAAAGCCCACAGCTGTCAGCAGCTGTCTGTCCCTCCATCCCACAGCTGCTGGGGACGTGGCTGTACGTGGCAGGGGCTGCCCAGTTCCCCCAGCACCAAGGGGAGATGCTGCTCATCGACCACGCTTTCCTGCGCCTGGAGCCCGGTGCCAGCGGGCAGGAGCTGCTCCTCAGCCACTACGTGGCCGTGTAAGATGCAGTCCCCGTGCCCTCAACCCATCCCCTGCCTGCCACAGCCCTAAAATCTTTCAGCACAAGATCTGAGCGCTGTTCCAGACTGATTTATCCAAAAGGAGTTTCTCCTGCCTGCTCAACACAACCTCTCCCCCATCCCCTTTATTTACTCATTTATTTCAACAGACTGCTTTGCAGGGCAGAGGTCTAGCAGGCACCAAGCCATGCAGGTAAGGAGAAGACCTCTGCAGGGGAGGAGAACTTTCCAGAAGTCCCTGTGCCGTGGCTGCTGGCTCTGCCAGGCACCAAAAGCTGTTTCCCCCACAGGGTCAGAATTCCAGGGGATGTTTTCCTGTGCAAACACAGGCAGCACTTTGAGGTTTCAGTTATTTCAAGGGGTGGGGGAGCAATGGCAAGGCTGAGGCCACGAGCTGCCACGGGAGGTCAGGCAAAGGCTCCAGAGAAATGCCTCAATTTTAGCAGTGGGAGAAGTTAACCCTGAGGAGGAGGTGGCAGGTGCCCAATGCAGGGCTGGGGCTCTGCTGGTCCTTCCAGACAACAGCATCACCCCCTTCCCCTCTCTCTCCAGGGGGGACCAGTGTTTTACCAACAACCTGACCTATCTGGAAGTCACTGCTGGTAACGCCACGCTGGTGAAGGACGGTGAGCAGCACAGCTGGGGTAACACCCAGCCTGCAGAAAGGGCCCATGTCCCTGATTTCCTTTACCCTATGCATTTATTCCCAGTGTCTCTGCCTGTCTTTGAAGCCTGGTGGGCTCCAAACAGCTCCCCAATGCCAGGGGCACCCAGGTTATTCCTGCTCCTGGGGCACCCCAGGGATCCCAGCCCTGCTGTCCTGCACATTAAACCCACAGAGCAATGCTGTGCCAGGAGCCAGCCTGCTCCCTTCCCTGCAGGAGAACACCGTCCTGTTTGTGAAGTTATTTCACAATCCCTTGGGGAAAGGTGTGGCAGGTTTCAGTGAATTAATGAAGCCTCTTGTTCTGAGTTGCTTCCTCCTTGCTGAGTGGGGTGAGCCGGTCTCAGGGTGGGAATTGCAACCCCTGGGACACACTGGCCCCACATACGCTGAGTCCCAACACACCATTCCACATTCCAACAGCAGCACAGGAGCTGGGGGACTTTGGCTCTTTCACACCCCAGCCCCATTTTCAAGAAATACAATTTATATAAACCAAGAGCCAAAAAAATTACCGTATTTCAGGACATTTTTATTCCCTTGCTACTGAAGGTTGAATCACTGTCCACACCTGGGCTGGAGTTTATTGCTGCTGCAGCACTGCAGATCTGAGTTATTGTGTCTTTTCTCTCCAAGCCAAGACCCAGCAAACTGAGGGGATGCTGATGAACATGAGCTCTGAAAACCTTTTGCTCATCCAGTACCAAATGCAGAAGGAAAGGACCTATTTGGGGCAGTATCTCTACGGTATGAAACTCCATCCTAAAGTCATTTAAAGCTATCACAGCACACCCACACACAAAGTTATCAACTAAAACCATACAGCAGCTTGGTTTCACCAACACTCAATGACTTTCCTGAGACCAACTCTCAGGGGTCATGGGATCTGCAAACTCCATTAAACCCCACATCTCCTGGCAGAGCAGGGAAAGCAAGTTAAAGACCAAACCCACTTATACCATAAATATTCAAAGAACAGGAAGCAACTACAATTCAGCATCGATATCACTGTAAAATCTCAAAATTTTCAAGCCAACCATGATGTTTCAGTACTTAGCTCCCAGGACAGAGCACGTGGCTTTGCAGTGCTAAAGCTGATCAGATTTAACCACAAACCCATAAAGCAGCAGTTTTGACTTGATAAGGCTCCTCCTCATCCTGCCAGGCTGCAAAGCAGTTGCTTAAGAGATTTTGAAGACAGATATAGAAAACTGCCTCCATACTCTGCCTTGGTCCCTCCTGACACCCCAGGAGTATCAAACCATCCTGCAACCCCTTTAAGCATACAGGACCAGAGTTGTTTGGGAGAGGATTGAACAAATGATGCTCAGGGTTGGTTTTGTTCAGGTGTGTTCACTGTGGGGGTGAGAGACCCCCACACATCCACTGCAAGCACTGGTGGGGAAGGTAGGGCAGCAAGGACAGGGGCGTTGTGGGAATCCAGGGCTTCCCTCTGGCTGCCCTGGCAGCTCTGGGACCCTGGCAGGGGTCAGGAACCACCCTGGACAGAGCCCCCAGAGACACTGTCTGTGATCTCTGTCCATGGAAAAGAGTTTTCAATCTTACAGGATGAATTACAAGCTCTGAGTGTTTGATATAAGTAATAATTAAGCGTGGC